CGACGCTCACATGCCCCCTCCTTTCGGAGGGCGGCCCACTCAAGTGAGTGGAGTGACGGCGCGACCAGCATGCCTTCCGGCATCGATATTGTGTCGCTGCAGGTATAACCGCAAGAAGTGCACTAACTGCAAGGATCAGCAAGGTTTCTGTGTGGTTGCTTACCGTCGGCATACCAACAGGCGTGCGCCTTTGGTACCAGACTCATGGTTAAGCAGCCTATCAGAGAACCCAGTACCCGGATTAACGCGACGTGGACGCTCCTTGTCAGTGTTCCCACTTTGTCTGTGTAGATCAGACTGTGCTCTTCTATTATACTTGCTATAGCACACACAAATTGGTCACTTGACCCGAGGGTCTCATCACAGCATGCATGAATCCGGTCCAGTGAACTGGACCGGGTGGCCATGGTAATTTCTGCCTTATTGCTTTGCAGCTAAGTGGGCCTTGATCAAGTTATTAGTGCCTAGGACTGCGCTGCGTTGCAGGCGCTCTACTATCCTTGGCACATCTCGGTCTGTAAAGCCGAGTTTCCTGATTTGGCCTCCAAATCCGGTGATGATCTCTCCACAGCAGCCGACAACGACGGGTACCACATGGACTCCGTTCGGGAACTCACGTCCAAACTGGTCCTCGAGTAGGCCCCGCACACTCGCACCTGGCGGGTACGGTAAGGCGGTCTCATCTGCCATGTCGCTATTGGTATTGTAGCGATGTAGCTTAATCTGTTCCTGCGTGGGCAGGTACGAGAACCACGAGACCGCGACCTCTACTATCGTTATCTTCTTCGCTACTTTGTCGAAAATCACCAAATCGGGTTTGTTGTGCTTCACTTGCTGCCTTAAGACAATGTTGAAGTCGAAGTAGATCTTCGCCCGTTCGTTTTCCAGAACGGGGTCTATCTTCTGCGTGAAGTGCACTGTTTGCAGGCCATGTCTTTGACACAGCTCCTTATGCAGGAACCGGACTAACGAGTCGTGCCTCTTCACCATGAGCGTAGGTCGGAACCTCTCGCAGCAAGCTACGATATGTTCGACTGTCTCTGGTGCTTTCCGGCATTGTCGACATTTGCTGTCGCACGAGTTGTTCTTACTTGCAAGAACTTTCGTGTACAGGCACCCCTCCTGAGCCGCGATCACGTTCCTCAAGGCTACGCCGTTCAAGTAGCCCTTTTGGAGCCATAAGTACGACAGGTCTTGGTCTACGTGATTCGCAAATGGTACCCTGCCCGCCCGTTCCATGTTTTGCCATTTTACTAGGCGCCTAAGGTCCCAAGCCTGGCGTAGTGGTTGCGCCACTTTCCTGGCTGCCTGAGTGGCACGGGTGTACTTAACGCCATGTATTAGTAGGCCTGGTTCGGTTGGGTCGTCCGGTATCGCTAGTATGCCTTCGAGTGTTTCGCTCACTCGCATGGCATCCGAGAGCAGGTTTCTTTTGCCCTTACCCGCAAGAGTTGTCATTAGTAGGCGTGTGGTCTGGAAGGATTCCGTACACCATACGTAGGCAAATCCGTATATGATGGATTCCTTGAGACAGTCCTCGATGCTAAGCAGTCCGAGGCCCCCGATTTTACTCGGCACATACATTCTTTCCCGACATGCTTTCGCATTGCGGTACTTATGCTCCTTTAACAAGTTACGGATTGATAGATCCAGCCGTCGCGCTTTCTTGAGGTCACTTCCTAGTTGGCCTCGGCCAAACAGAGTGTTGGTGAAGATGTACCGGGCTACGGGCACGGCCATTTGGTTGAGTGCACTGCGGACAGCGCACCAGTTCAATTCGGCTTCTAGCGCCCTCTTAGCGATGCCTAGTACTCTCTTCTCCATCCTCTCGAAAACAGACTTGTGGTCTACATTAAGAGTCTGTTCCAGTCCCAGATACTTGTACGATCGGCCAACACTTAGCACTGGTATGCCCTGAAGCTCCTCAGTGTTAGGGTCTGTGCTGGCGACGGCACACTTTTTGCGGTTAAGGTTGAGATTAATGGCTGATGACAGCCTCTCGACCTTTCTGGCTGCGTACTCTAGCTGAGTATCGCAGTCAGTGTAGACCTTTAAATCATCCATGTAGAACTGATGCGTGAGGTTCAGTGATTTGCCTACTGAGCCACCTACCGAGGTCGTGTATCCTCGCAGGCCGCAATTGTCTAGCATGTACGATATTGGTGTGACAGCTGCTACGAATAGCAGTGGCGACAAGGTGTCCCCTTGAAGCACTCCGTTCCTCACCTTTAAGGGTCTACTCCGCTTTATCGAGCGCTCCATTCGCACTTCGTATCGGACTGTCCAGGCTCCCATTAGGCTTGAGATCAGTCGTCTCATGTTCTGCTCTATGCCCGCGACCTTGAGGACGTATTTAATGTATCCGTGCGGTACGGAATCAAACGCTTTGCTGTAGTCAAACCACCCGACTCGGAGCTCTCTACTCTTCTTTCGAAGTGTGGCATCCTTGGCGATCGTGCGGTCTAACACCAGAGCGTGCGTACATCCCCAGGTCTCGCGAACTAGCGCACGTTGTGGCTCAGGTATGAACCCAATGGCTTCGAAGTGTCTCCTCACATGGGCGGTTATCAAAGCCGTTACCAGCTTGTATGCCGTGTTAAGGCATGCGATCGGCCTGTAGTTGCCAGGGTCTTCCGGATCGCCACCCTTATGAAGTGACACTATTCTGCCCTGAGCGAGCCATTTCGGGACCTTTACGGTACCCTCCCTGGCTTGCTTGACCCAGTCAAGGACCCACAAGCTCGCAGTCGGTAGGCGTTTCCAAAGCAAGTTTGGAATGCCATCCGGTCCTGGTGCTTTGCGCGGTCTCAACTTCTTCAGCACGGATTCTAGGTCTTCCGCTGTGAGTGCCGACTCGTTATCTCGCGTTTGAGTCGTGCCTGTGACGCGGTTCCAGTGAGCTGCCCATCTGCGCAAGTCAGAGGTCTTTTCAAACTTCTTGCTTTCGCCGATGATAGGTTTCCAGAAGTTGAGTATAGCGTCCGGATTAGTCCCTCCAGATGGGGGGTCCGACAGGAGCCTTTTAAGGGGCATCCTTTTCCTAGCTTTTCTCTTTTCTGAAGCCCTACGCTCTTCGACACGCGTCATGCATAGCTTCAACTGCCCTTTGAGAGATTCGCATCTTGCATTGAGTGCACCTCTCGTCCGGCAGTTATAGCGCTCACGGATTTCCTTAAAGTTCCGTTTTTGCTTCTCTGTGGGTGGGAGCCCCCTTATTTCTCTTCTGCGGATCTCCGTCTCAATGAACGAGATGTGCTTCCGTAACCGCGTGGTGTGCTTAGCCTGATCGCTGTACCATTGGCTGGCTTTAAGCTTTCGCTCGCCTTGCTTGCGTTCGTGCATCGCTTGCAAGGCCCGGCCAACGGCATATACGGTGCAGTTGAGATCCCAAAAGGTTGCTTCCTTGTCTGTATTGTCCTCCCAGTTGTCCATGTGGAACTGGATGAAGCTGTTACAGAGCGCCCACGTTTGGTCAGAGGTTTGGGGGATTTTGAGGGGACGTCGTTTTCCGATGTCCAATCCTTTCACCCTAGTCAGCTCTGAGTCGAGAGCTTCTATGAGTTCCCTTTCCTCGGGCGTTAATGTGGTTGACAGGGAGGGTGGATTGTCACTCAGGTTCAAGTCCAGGCTTTGTCCCATCCTGGTCTCGTCCCTCGGCATCGCTATCCTCTGTAGGTTCGGCGGCTACTGGCACAGCCTCCGATTCCACACTGTCCACAATTACAAAGCCTAGGTTCGTTGCGACTTCTTCTAGAGGATCGATTATGATCTCTAGGTTTGGCATTGTCGGAAGGGCCACCTCGGTCTCGGAGTCATCCTCCTCGTCCAGGGTTGCAAGCGGCGCGTTACGCACCGTGCCCGCCTTAATGAGCTTTCCGTGTCTTTGCTCCAGACTTTTAAAAGTCCTTTCGCCTTTCTGCCGGAAGTCATTGAGGCCCTTCCAGTACTCTGCAAATTCCTTCCACGAGATCTCGGGTTGCTTAGCGCGCTCCGAGACAAGTAGTTGGTCTTCTGCGGAGTCCCATGACCATCTGACCCGTTTCGCTGCCGTGCTCGCCTGGCTGCTAGACGGGCCCGCCGGTGCCCCTTCTGGCCCTGCTGTGCGGGCTGTTTGGTTGGGGGTGTGATGTTGAACGGAGCCGGCCGAAGCGGTGCCCCTTACCGGCGGGATGGTTGCCCTTAAGAGGGCAGTTTGGGATCTGGTAGTCATTCGAGAGCAGTTACTAGTTTCGCTGCCACATTCGCTTGACACGTCAGAGTCGCCAGGGTCGGTTGGAGCTTCTCGAGAAAGGGGTCGACCACGTCCCGATCTATCACTTGCATTTTTAGATTTCATGCATGGATTTGCCCTAGCTAAGATCGCGGTGTAGTAGTAGTTCTCAGCTGTATCGGAGAAGGCTTGCTAGCTAGCCCTTGGCGGCGGCTCCTCACTCTGATACGTCCCTTAGGGTCTTTAGCCCACCTAACGGACCTGGTCTTGGCCATCGGATGCGTGATGGGCGACTGGGACTTGTCACGTTTCTCAAGATCAGGCCTTGGCGGACGAGTCATCCTACCAGGCTGCTCCACACACCTGGGTAACGACTCTGTGTGATTTGCGTGGATTGCTCGTACGCCTTATGCCACTAGGCTTTCACCGCGGGGGCTTCGGCATCCGGTTACTCATTTCTGCCTTTTTGTTTAGTACGGAGGTTTTTATACGCTTCCCTTCGGAAAACGTATACGGAAAGTGAGTCGCCTCAATACTAGCATTGAGCCACCCGAGTGTGGTCTCCCTAGTCAGTAGCACCGTCGTCTTGGGCCCCAGGAGCGCGAGCTCAAAGGGCACGCGGTACACTGCTTTCCGTAGCGCCTGGACTGCATCGCAAATGCTTGGTCCGCAGTCCCAGACTTGGCCGCAGCTTACGGGGCAGCGATGTTGGTATCAGCGAGCTGTTGGGCGGCGGCGTCGGCTTGCTTCTCGACGGCGTCCCTCTGCTTCGCGGCTGCTCTTGCGGCTGCTTTCTTGGCCTTGGCCTCCTTCCGCTTCTCTACCCTTCCCTTGCGGGTCGGGTTCTTCTCGCCGCCTTCTGGTCGTCCCGCATGCGCCGGCCCCTGCTTCGGCTTCGACATGCGCGCGTAGTACTCGCGGACGATCTTCTCGAACTCCTCCACAGTGTCCGCACTGATCGAGATCTTCGGCATTGTCTAAAACTTGCACGATTAGACATGGCCTTCGATCCGAAAGGCCACCGGTGAAGGAGCCACGTAAGGCGCGATCTCGAAGCGATATAAAACAGGCATTTCGCGTATCTAGCAATTCCACGCTCTAAATCACGAGTTACATTTTGCTTGAGAATTGACACTCGCGAACCCTTTTGGTGAACCCGCACATGGTTTCGCGCTAGCATAGCATCTTCTTCTCCTCGCAGAAGCGGGCATGTAATGGTTTTGAGGCATTGTCTTCATCGAGTCAAGCTTAATCGTTCATCCTGATCGCGCTGTTTGTCGTTTCCACGTAGAGTCCACGGTCCGTATTCCACGCATCATGGGACCCTCCTCCTCCCATCTGTCCACTCTCTCCTCTCTTTTCTCTTCTCATTCCACAGTGATGGCTTCACAACTTCCCGTTTCCTCGGCTGTGTGCTACGAGTACAGCACGATCATCTGCCAAAGTGCTTTCTCTGTCCAGCTTTGCGTTGCGTATCTTTTCTGGGTAAAAGATTAGTTGGGGCCGCGTTACCGCGTGGCGAGTTTCGGTCACCCGATGTGTACCACTCGCGTAGGCATCGGCCGTAGCCAACACTACAACCCCTCAACCTAGTGTTTCATAGGTTGTGCCCTAAGGCATCTACTCCTCGTCCTCTGGCTCCGGAAGCGGCGGTTCGAGGTACGCTGGACCGGTAACGCGGTACCATAGGTACGCGTCCTCAGGCTCGTAGCCGTCCTCGTAGCCGTGATCCATGTAGTAGAGCATTCGCTCCACCTTTTCGCGTTTCCTCTGCAGGCGA